GGACCAGGCTGGAATAAATGAGAAACACCGGATGTAGGTGGTATACAACTCCATGGGCTAGATGGAATCAAGTGGAGGGTGTGTGTGGAGAGAGAAGAGCAATGTTCAGAGAGCGGACACCTGGGTTCCTCCAACTCTATGTCACTAAAACCCAAGAAGAGAGTTATTATGCTTGTGAGAAAAGACACAGAGCGTGAGAGACCCTGTGAGTGGTCAGCCACTGCCACAGTGGTCTAGCTTGTCTGTTTGGCACATGGACTCCCCAGATACCCTTTTCCTGTGCCTGCTGTGTGGTTGTCCTAGCATCAGCATCTCAGTGGAATGGTAGCAGTGAGCTTGGTGTTATAGTGTAACTCTGATCATCACAGGTATTATGATTTTTTTAGTTGGGTAACTAGTGAGTTGTGTTAGTTGGTAACCTCCCATGTTTTTGGTGTATGGCAGGGTTAATTTATTTTGGAAGAGTTGTGATGTTCAGGATCTACCTTCTGACATGTATTGTAGATCCTTACCTGTCCTGTCATTAGTTGACCCAGAAGCAAGAGGGTGGAAGATAGAAGTAGCTCTGGTTAAGCTTGACCCTCGGCCTGGGAGTAATATAGGCTCAGCCCAATCTTCTTATGATGGTACCTCAAACCTCCATAGCAGTGCTCTTCTCCTTCCTCATTTTTTCCTGTGTCCAAAGTCCTTCCCGGGCAGTCTTTACTTAGAGTCCTTCATGAGGACATTTATAAAAGGTGTGCTACCTCCTGGGTACCTTAAGAATATTTATTATTTCATTTAATTGAGAATCATCATAGCAATCCTATGATATACGTTTTCTTTAGTTCTTACTATCCCCAGTTTATAGATGAAAAAACTGAGACTCAGGTGGATCTTGCATCAAGTAAATGGCAGAACCAAGAACCAGGTACAGGCCTGTTTGACTCCAAAGCCCGTGTTCATCTTGCTTTATTGCACTAACACATTCAGTGCAGACATGCAACAAAACTGTTAGCGGTTGCTGGTGAGGACTAAGTAGGTTTTCCCAGGAAAAATGCAGGTGGGGCTGATAAAAAACAAACAAACAAGCAAACAAAAGCTGGATTTCTTTAACAAAAAAAATTTATTTACATATTTATTTTTAGAGAGAGAGAGTGTGTGAACAGGGGGAGGGGCAGAGGGAGAAATCTTTCGCATAAACTACCTGCTAAGCAAGGAGCCCGAGGACATGAGGCTTGATCCCACAACCCATGAAACCATGACCTGGGCCCAAACCAAGAGTCAGACCTTAACTGACTGAGCCATCCAGGTGCCCAGCTGGATTTCTTTAGTAGGAATATCTTTGCAAAAATAGTGAGTGGGAATAAAGGCAGATGAAAACTCCAGTTGTGATTGTCTTCACACACCAACCAAGTTGGCTGAATTCACATTGGAAGAAAGAGGTAAATAGTATACATTGTCATCCATGTCACCAAACCAAACACCTGGGATGGAATTTTTTACTTTCTGGGTGATTGTTAATGCACTGTGAAGTCACGGTGTTTAGTCTCAGGCAGTGTTGGTAGCGGGTGGCTGAAAGGGACGAGGTATTTCGATCAAGGAAACCTGAGGTCTTCAGGCAGAAGTACCCCCCAAACCAATCATTTTGCATTCCCAATGTCTATCTCATCTTCCCCCTTTTTCTCCCATTGAAATGTGACCTTGGCCTCTGTCTCTGAACCAGCCAGCCTTTGAGCAGATGCAGCTTTATGGCTTTGGTTGAGAACTCCAGATACAAAAGCTTACACAAGTTTTAAGAATGAGCTGTGATAACTACTAAAGAAAGCTCTTGCTGGAGGAGCCACAAAGCCAGGAACAAATCTCCAGGCCATGTAATCACAAGGGGTTTATGCAAACCTCTTAAAGGAGGTTTACACAAATACACATCCAATTTCGTCTTTAGAAAGGGCTGTTCCTTTCCAATGAGTCAGTATTTAACAGAGCTTGGCAAAGCATGAGCCTGTCAGCTGGAAGAAGATGAGGTTTTAAAACTCGACCTATTCTTTAAAGGAGAAAATAACCCTTAAGCTGCATTAACATGGCCTACCACGAGCAGCAGGGATGGGGATTCTGTTATCAAGGCGTCCTCTAGGCTGGCGTTTCCTTTCCAGGCTGCGGCAGCCTTGCTTGCCTGCACCTGCCTTGTTATCAGCCTCCTGCAGAGGAGACTTGCCTTTGTGTGTGCTGTCTCTGGGTATGTATCTGTGAGCAAGGCTTGGCTTTCTGGGCTTTAATTTTGAATGAGATGGGAAACACACTCAGCACAGCCTCTGCCTCCTGTGTCTATGTCGTGGGGCAAAGTTCACGCTCATGTTCGCATCTCGGGAGAATGAATGGGCTGCACTGGGTGTAGACATGATGGGATTGTGCTGCAACATCCTTTTTTTGAGCACTGAAATACTGGCCTTTTGGGGTAGTATCATATTAGTTTATTGGTATTTTTACAAATCTGAAATCTGAATCATTTATCTTGAGATCAAGATCAAAGACTCAACTTTTTCAAGGCATGTGAAAAGACACATTGCCAGACAGTTTCCCAGCCTGGCCAGGACTGCATGGCTCACATCCCCAGGAAGCCCACAGGTTGTGTATCACAAAGCTTCTATTGAAGGAATGATTCTTCTGTGCTTTCCCAAATGGGTCGAACGTGAACTGAAAGTGATGCAGGGAGTCCCATGCTCACTGGGATCTCCGTTGGTAGATGGTAGCATTGAAGGAAACAGACACGAATCCAGAATGGCTCATCTGAAACCCAAACTATGCTCTCAACAAAAACCTTGTGGGGACTGCCCCTCCTTGCCCCCTCCCCGCAAATATTTTTAAAAAGATCTCTAAAGTCATCAAACAAGAGATGGGATTGTCTGAGTGGCATCACATGAATGTATTTGAAATTATGGTATAACCCCATCTTTTCATCATTCTCTTTTCCCCCTCCCTTGTTCCCCTCTTCTCTGTTCTCTTTTCTGTCTTGCCTCCCCACTTCATTCCTTGCCCTTCTTGGTTCCAGTTGTCCCCCAGAAGGAAGTAACTAGACCCTCCTAGCAGAGGACAGCTGGGAGGGTTGGTGGAAAACCAGGGAGGACAGATGGGGAAGGGGCACAGGGCAGCTAGTTGCTGGCTTTCACTGCACAGGGCTTCTCTATGGAGGGTCCCAGCAGAGCCCTGGGGTGCCACAGTTCTGGTCTTCAACACTGGCTGCATGGATGGGGACCGTGTGTGTGGTTCCATGGACTGGTTGTCACCAGTCAGAGGACGGATCTGTGGGAGCAGCTGGGGAGTCATGAGGGGCACAAGCAGAGGGACAGGGCACACAGAATGCAAAAAGGGCTGGTACATGCCATTTTTTTGTGATGGGCACGTACCTCTCCCCGTGTGGCTGCATCCAAGGTGGGACCCAGTGGCTCATGCTACATTCAAAAAGTTTTGAAACCACTGAGAAGTTTTAAGCAGGGAAAGCTGATGCTCTGTAGCCCTCTAGGTGAGGGAGAGGACAGTTGTAATTTCGAGTTCCTTTCCTACGGGTAAGCTCCCTTGGTTGTAAGGATGCTCAATGAAGGCAATAAAAATACTTCACATTGTTGTTTATTCTCAGCTTCTTGGACTGACCTGCTTCCATGATGGAAGAAAACCATGGTGTTAACACCATGTCTGTTGAGTAGTGTAGATGCTCAATAAATACTTGATGATGGTTCATGTTCCATGGAAATTTTATTTGCTATGAAAGCTAGTAATCCCATGGCCCAGTCTCTCGGGAGTCTGCAGGATGTGTGAAATTGATCTGGTGATGATTCTATGTTAGAGCTCATTCAGTTTTAGAACTGAAGGGACCTCTGACGCCACCTGGCACAGAGGAGGAGAAACGACTTGCCCAATGGCCCCCAGAGAGTTTTTGGTAGAGAAAGGAATGGTTCCTTGACTTACTGGGCAAAACTTCCCATATAACATTTGCATAAAGCAGGAGGGTGGGACCAGTGGTGGGTTATTTCCACAACCCTGAGAGCTAACTTAAGGAGCTCTCTGACCTCAGCTTGCTCTTAATTATTCCCCATTACTGCATCGGATATAGCCTTCCTCACCCCATTTCCCTTACTGCTGTCGCTGTTGGTTGGAAACCCTCTCAGGAGCTTCCCAGGCATAATCTGAAGCCAGGCCCCCTACGAGGAGGGCAGGGAGAGCTGGAACCAAGAGACACACCAGGTTGGTAGGTGGCAGTTTTAATAAGCAAAGGGAACTTACATGTGAGGCTTGCCTTGGACAGGAGCCAGACGAATGGATCCCTGCCCCCGCCCACCCACCAAATCTTAAAAGGTGATAAAGAGGTCCTAACTGGGTCCAGTCACGTATGCCAGGCAGATGTTCTCAGCACCATGTTACTGTCTCAAGGCTGTGTCCTTGCAGCAGCTTGTGGGAGCAGGAAAGGGAAGCTGAACCTACATTCCAAGGACAGAGGGAGGTGGGAAGGAGCCTCCAAATGCCCCAGTCCAGCTCATCGGTCAGGTAGGGGTCACATTTTTTTGATGATGTTCCCACACAGTCATCTCCCTGGCCCTACGGGTTAGAGGTGAGAAGGTCTCTCTACTTCAGATGCTTGGGCCCAGGCATGGCTACATGTCCTTCTCCTTATGTCCTTAGCATGGCTGAAGAACGCTGGGGATGGGAGTTTAAATGAGATTTCACTAAAGGAAGGGGGTGGGAGGGATGGGGGATAGGCTTGCCTCTTTCCAGATAGATCAACATCATTAGAAGTCAGGTTTTCCTACAGCCCCCATCTCACAACAACCTGGTGGGACATTCAAGCCAGAAACACAAATTTACAGCAGCTGTGGGGGTGGGGTGGGTGAACTGCCTTTTTCTTTTTTTTTTTAAACAGAGACCATCCCTTACTTCCTCTTCCCCCTCTATCCTGTGTTTATTTCCTGCAGATTTCTCTCCCTTTACACAAGAGGGCGCTGGAGCCCACGGTACCGCGCCCTTGGCTTGGAGACGAAGATCCAGGGAAAGGCTGAAAAGCGGCTTGGGTGTGTTCCAGGTGATGGCACCTGCCCTGCGAGCTCAAGGTTTCAGGTACTCAGTGTGTACCCGTGATGCAGAGACTGGAAGGGAGCATATAAGCCCCAGCTGGCATCCAGGAGCGTGGGGTCCGGGCTCGCCTGTGAGAGAGGCATTGGCCAGCTAGCTTGCAGGGTATCCGACACGGGGTTCCCTGCAGGAAGTGGCTCTGTGAGAACCCACGGAGGGACTCAGGGCCTGTTAGTCCAGAGAAAAGGAGATTGGGGTGATGGGATCTGGCTCTGCGTTTTTGAAGGGCTTTGTCTGGGAGAGAGACTAGGCTTATTTCATGGGGCTCCAGCAGCAGAACTGGGACCTATGAATGATACTGATCAAGAAGGAGATTTCACTTGACCACAGGAAGAACTTTGTAGGTGTGGAAGGCAGCATGGTTCAGGCAATAAGCATGGGCTGTAGAGGAAGCCCTGAGCTCACCTGGCCGGCTGTTACTAACTCTGTGATTTGGACGAGTCGCTTACCCACTTAGCCTCAGTCCTCTTCTCTGTAAAATGGGGTTAATGATATCTATCTTGCAGGGTTGTGGAGAATCAATAATTTGGAGAAAGAATTCAGCATAGTGCCTAGCATTTCTTCCTTCCTCCCTCCCTCCCTTCCTTCCTTTTTTAGCTCAATTTTTTGACAAAAGATCATAGTAGCTAACCTTGAATGCTTATTCCGTGAAAGGCATTGAGTCATCTCCCATTCATGATCTCTGAGTCCTCAAACAACCTGATGAGGCAAGCGTCCCTACTCTTATTTTACAAAAGAGACAAGTGGGGTTTGGAGAGGATAAGAGATTGGCGCATGGTCTCAAGCCCGTGAAGTTGCTACGCTGAAACCCTCAGCCAGGTCTGTCTTCGGAGCTGCGCTCCTGCCAGGACACCATGCTGCCTGCCTGTGTCAATGTGGGGTCTTCCCCCAGAGGGCCCCTGGGTCTGGCGAGCTGTTGGCGGGTTTATCTATCACACACAATGACGCAGGGGCACATATGTTGTTCTGGCAAAGGCGAGGCGCATTTTCCAATGTCGGTCGAAGCAGAGGATGAATAATACAGGGAGAGGGATCAACAGAAGGGGCAAGAGGAGGCCAGAACCGCATCAATTCCCCTGCCCCCAACAGGGGCAGCAGAAGGTGCAGTTGGCGGGTCCCCGGAGTGGAGCCGCCAGCCCAATCATCTTGCCGCTGGGTTTTGCCCAGCTTTCCCTCTCCATTCTTTCTCGTTTTTGACACTTGTGATTATTACCAATCCTGGTGGCGCTGACGCCTGGGAGTGCAATGGTTACCATGGCATGCTTAATAGTGAGAGCAGATGTTTGGCAGGCTAGCTCCATGCATTCTAAACACACAAGGCGAAAGTCGGTGGAGGGCGTAATTGATTTGCTGGCTGCAGCAGGAAGCCCGCCCGTGCCCGTGCTGGGCCAGGGCACCATATACTTGAACGTCGCACACAGTCTCATCAGGAACTGACCCCTTGCAGGCCCCTCTGGCCTCACATGTTCTCAATTCCCACCTGCTCTCTCCTCTTCTGCCTTGCTCAACACCTGCAGCCCCCCACACAAGCTCGGGTCTGTCTCCTGCCTGGGTCTTCAAACAAACTGTTGCCTCTATCCAGGCCCCCATCCTTCATCACGTGGGCAATGCCCACAAGCCCCTCAGTGTCAGCCTAGACATCACTCTCTGGCATGCCTTCATGAGGTCCCACTTGGCAGGATCACCCGTTCCTGCCCTCTCATAGGACTTGTTGAGGTGCTATAATTGCTCATTTGTTTACCTTCCCCATAGAAGGCAGGTGTCTTGAGTGCAGAGACCGTATTTACAGGAATGATTTTGACTATAATTCATAAAATTACATGAAATAAAAACTTCCATCCTTTATCTTTCAGTATCACATTTCTTGCAAAATACATCACAGTTGGTCGTGACAGCAGGTACCCGTCTTCCCCCGCAAACAGAGTTATTGTTATCTGCGTACAAAGTACACTCTCCTACCTCTGAGCCTCTGTTGGCGGCATTGCCTCCATCCAGAAATGTGGTGTCCTTCTCTCATTCACCTGTGCCTTTTCAAATCCTGTTCCTCAATCAAGACAGCTCTCAACTGCTGTTTCATCTTTTCCAATATACCCTCCCCCAAGCAAATGTGATCGCCTCTCAACCACAGACCCCTTTCTAACACCCCCGCTTCCACCACACACTAAGCCCACAACATACTGTGTGCATCTCTTTCAGTATCTGTGACTTTAAAGGATTCAGTCAAGGGCAGTGGAGAGCCCAGGCTCTGGCCTCAGGCTCGAGTTACTTGTTTTTTTTTTTTTTCTTTTTTAAAGATTTTATTTATTTATTTGAGAGAGAGAGAATGAGAGAGAGAGAGCACATGAGAGGGGGGAGGGTCAGAGGGAGAAGCAGGCTCCCTGCTGAGCAGGGAGCCCGATGCGGGACTCGATCCCAGGACTCCAGGATCATGGCCTGAGCCGAAGGCAGCCGCTCAACCAACTGAGCCACCCAGGCGCCCCTCGAGTTACTTGTTATGTCTAACTTTGGACAGGTTGAAATGACCTCCCAGCTTCATGTCCCCCTTTGTTAAGATGAATATAATCACACCTATTTCACTGGGTAGTCGTGTGGATTAAATGAGATACTGAAGAGAAAATATGTAGCTCAGTGTGTGGAACACAATAAGAACTCATTAAATGGGGGAGGGCGCCTGGGTGGCTCAGTCGGTTAAGCATCCAACTCTTGATTTTGGTTCAGGTCATGATCTCAGGGTCGTAAGATTGAGCCCTGTATTGGGCTCTGTGCTGAGCCTGGAGCCTGCTTAAGATTCTCTCTCTCTCTCCCTCTGCCCCTTCCCCCATGCTGCTCCTGCGCATTCTCTCTCTCTCTCTCTCTCTCAAAAAAAGAAAAACCCCTTAAATAGTTGCTATTGTTAACTCACTATTTACGTATTTGCTTAAAGCCACCAAGGGGCGTGCCCTCCTTGAGGTCAGGTGCTATAATACCTCTGTACACCCTGCAGCCTGATCCAAGCTCATGGCTGGGTGAGTGGAGCAAACTTACCCACCCTGCAGACCTCTACTTTCCTTGTCTGTAAATTGGGGTTATGAGATCATCAAGAGCACTAAATATCTGAGTCCTTTTTAAACTGTAAAGCTCAGAAGCAATTTGAGTCAACTTAAAAGAGTAGTCTGAGAGGAAATGCATGGAGCAAAGGCATATTGATTTCTGCTTCACTTTGAAGACGTTGGGGCTGAGGCTAGTTGGTAGCTGATTGTTGCCCTGGTAACACAGGTGGTTTGCGTTCATCTCGCCCAGCCAGTTCTGAATCAGGTAAGGAAGAGGCAGAGAAAGGAGAGGAGTGTGTGTGTTTGTATTTGTGTATGTGTTTGTAAGTGTATGTGTGCATTCATGTGTGTGTGTGTGTTTATGTGTTTTCTGGAGGGAAATGGCAGAGAGAGAGAGAGAAGGTTTTCTGGGGACAGAACCACTGAGAATTTGCCTGGAGGAAAAAAAGACACTTTGGTTTTGACATTATTTTCCAATAACCACAACTAAGAGTAAAGAAACTACCGGCTTTATGATAGTGACTCAAATATCAAATTACTGAAGAAGAGTCAGAAAGCTTTTCCAAATGGTTTAATGTAGGGTATTGACAAAAGTGAACATTTGTGAAGGTCACTGAGCTGGCCCCCAGCTCGGTGGTAGGATGGGGAGGATTGTGTCATTTCTGCTATACCAAAGTGTTCACAGCCTTCCCCCACCCCTACTTGAATAAAAATTCTTTGATTTTAAAAACTGCTTCAAAAGAATATAGCCTGGCCATGGTCTCAAATTATGAAGTGGATTTTTTATGTCAAGTTTTCAACATTTGGCATTTCCACCTGTTTTGGAAAGTTACAGGTGATACATAGTCCTTCCCCACTAATGCAGTGCTCTCTCAGTTCTGTGCTTATGTGCATGGACCTCAGGTGCTTCTGAGCACAATGTGGGCTAGAGTTAGCTTCTTCTGACAACATTACTTCACCGCGTCATGTGAGAGCTACGAACGATGTCTCTGGATTATTGCCTCTCTCTACTTTAAAGACTTCTCTGGCTCCCACCATGGCATGATAGGCCCACACAACTCTGAGGTCCAGAGAGCTGGATTCTAAATCTGGATTTGTCAGATCTGTCACACCAGATTTGTTTCACCTTTGTTACACCAAGAATGTATTTTCTCCACCCTGGGCCTCAGCTTCTCATCTGGAGAACATCAGGTGATCATACAGTTTTTCTTCATTAGTCTGTTGATACAGTGAATTGCATTGATTGGTTTTTGATTGTTGGACCAGCCTTGAATTCCCAGGGTAAACCTCATTTGGTATTATAGTTTTCATGTATTGTTGCTTCATTTGCTAATATTTTGTTCGGAATTTTTGAGTCTATGTTCGTGGAGGATATTGGTCTGTAGATTTCTTTGCTTGTTATGTCTTTGGTTTGGTATCTGGCTAATTTAAAAAATGAATTGGACAGTGTTGCCTCCTATTCTATATTCTGGAAGAGTTTGTATAGAACTGGTAGTATTTCTTCCTTAAATGTTTGGTAGAATTTTTCAGTAGACTCCATCACTTTGAAGGTTTTTCATGTTCTAGGCAGCTACAGGATAAGTGAGGGTGCTTCCTGGGGTAGGTTTGGAGGGGTGGCCCACCTCAGGCCCTCTAGAAACTCCCTGTGAATAGAGAAATAGGGGAACCACTTTCCTCTAAACCATGCAAGAAGGCCCCTCTTCTTAAGTCACTTCTGTTGCTATCTCACCAACTTGTAGGCCACGTTCTTCCCAGAATGATTTTGAGTCTTTGGGAGACAGCATGGTGTGGTGGAAAAAGCTCAAGTCCTTGGCCCTGGCATGTGCCAGTCACGTGACTGCAGGCCCACACTCCTGAACCTCTCAGAGCCTCGGTTCCTGTAGCCTATAACTGGGCACGGCAAATTTTAGCTGACCAGGCTATTGTGAAGATTGAAGGAGGTGATACTTAAAAATG